TCGCCTCAATATAATTGAAACTGGAATGAAATATTGTTTTAATATTTTCCTATTAGGTCAGCATTTACCAATTTAAATTGAAAATCATGAACTTTTTGTAAACCATGAAATCACTTTTTGTTTTTCTTTTCTGTCATGAATTGCTCTGTGGCAGGCAGGAGATTGGACCCAAGATTCGCAACACATGGGGGCGAACTTAAAATGCAGCTTCATTGCTGACTCGAGGGAAAACGATGCAAAACTATAAAATATAAAAATATAAACTAAACTAGAGGGAGAGAGAACATGAGGAGCATGAGGGAGAGAGGCAGACATGATAGGCTGGGGAAAACAAGATGTCACAAGAACTCACACAACCATGTAAATGCAGACACCCAGGGGGAGACACAGAAGGCAACAACACAGGGAGAATACTGAACAGAGTGACGTAGGAAATCTAACCTTAACGTAATGCAAAAAATGACAAAAAGCACAGGAAACTTAAACCGCTGGGCCAAAATGACCCAGGACCATGCCATTTTCTTTCCAGTCTCGTACAGATTTTTAAAAGATGACATAGAGAAAAAACAAACTGAGATAAGTCACCTCAGTGTGGTCAAATGCTGAGTGTCTCCTGCTGTTCAAACCTGTAGAAAAGACAGGTAATAAGCTTCATTAGCTTGACTCACTTATTCTGAAAACGTAATACAATTTTAACAAAATGTTTTGTGTCCAGTGTGTGTGCCTGTCCTGTGAAACACTGAGTTTATCAGCAACCAATCAGTACCACAAGAAATATTTTGAATAAAGGTTATTACAGTTAAAATACATTAAAAACAAAAATGCAATTTATTTAAATTAAATCCACTTCTCCTTATTAACTCATTCACTGCCAGCCATTGGCAGTGAATGAGTTAAACCCATTGGCTCATTCACTGCCATTGACGTCCATAGACGTCAATGGCAGTGAATGAGTTAAGGTTGTGGGGATGCTGAAGCCTATCTTAGCTGTCACAGGGCAAGACTCATGGTACACCCTGGACAGGTCTAACGCAGGTGTGTCGCTAATACAGTTTTTACTGTAATACCTGTACTACTTATCTTAAATCTTGCCTCTGACATATGCCCTCCTCAGGATAATAATTGAAACTAATAAAACTGAAATATGAAAATCAACTCTGGAAATTAACTGAAAATAAACTGAATTAAAAACAAACATCAAAATACAAAAGTATAATAACTCTGTTGTCAATTAATGAATCTTAAAGGTTTTAAATAATGTTTGAAGGTAACTCACCATTAGAGCCCTCGGCCATGATTCTGTAGATGAGCAGCAGAACAACAGGCAGCAGAACCACCACCACAGATAAACGTATCACCAGCTCCAAGGACAAACCTGGATGACAGACACACAGACGCAAAACTTCAAATGCTGCTTTTCACGAGTTTTTAGAAAACGACAGATGAAGCGTGGTGACTGGTAAATTCAATGGGGTTGGTGTTTTTGGACTGACTACTTTAGTCAGTTTGGCAACTTTACCCCAAAAAAACTAGTTTAAAAAAATGTTTGTCATGTGTATCATGTCATGTTGTAATGCTTGCTGGTAAGACTTGAACGCCTCCCCATTCTGCTTAAAATATTCAATAAAAACTAACCTACACGCAACATTCCAGATTAATTTTCTGTTATACTTTAACTCTAGTTTAATGTCAATACCATTTTGGGTTTTTTTGTTTTTTTACTTATATGAAAATTGTGTATTTCTACACTGTGGCTGTTTCTTCTTATAGTGCAGGAATAAATCAGACTGCTTCTCGGGTGGAGGCCGACGGAAGAAATGTTGATACTGAAAAAGGCTGATGAGGCGTGTTGAGGAAGTGTTTGAAGCTGAGAATGAGGAAACAATCAGAATAATAATAATAATCATTTTTCTGTAGGTTTTCTGTTCACTTGTGAGTAATAGGGGTTAATGTGTGTTTACAGCTGAATATGACACATGTACGTTATTTAAAAGATATGTAACTGTGGTCAGTGAGAAGTTCACATCTTCAGGGACATACTTTTTTTTCTTTTACTTTTAACAGAGTTGTGTATTTCTGCTCCGTGACTGTTTATAATTATACTTCAGGAATAAATCAAAGTGCTTCTTCCACTCCTGCTGATGTGTCATTAATGGACATGGATGAAGGTTCTTTGATAAACATGAGACTGATTCACACTCACACATTCACATGTGCATATATGATGTACCTGAGCCTGATGATGGTGTTTCAGGAGAGGTTGATGAAGGTGTGAAGCTTCCTGAACTGAAGTGTGTTGTTGTTGTTGTTGTGGAAGCTGATAAGAGAAATGTTGATGTTGATAAAGGCTCATGAGGTGTTGGAGTGTCTGAAGCTGTGAACAAAGAAACAATCAGAATAATAATAATCCTGCTTGAAGCAGGTTTTCTGTCTGCATGTGAGTAATAGGTGTTAATGTGTGTTTACAGCACAACTCATGAAACTAAACGTGTAGTGTAAATATGACACATGTAGGTTATTTGAAAGATATGTAACTGTGATCATTGAGACTTTCACATCTTCAGGGACATGAAGAAGATTTTTTTTACT